CTTTTCTGAGCGAATGAACAAAAGCTTCAGAGCTGGCAGCACTATTAATTTTTCACAAAAAGAAATCTTACATTAAAAATAAAAAACCTTGGATGATAAACTTTGCTGTGATGAAATTCAAAGCAAATCATTTCACTAGGCACCTTGATGTAGGCATCACTGCTGCCAATTTCTTCTGAGCTTTAAAAAAGACTCTGCTGTTAGATTCAGTTTTAGTGTTCAATTAACAGTGACAGAACAAGAGACTGCAGGTATTTATCAACAAGTCCAAAGTCAATGTTATTAGGCCTACAAAACATTGCATGGTGCTGATGAATACTACACTCAGCTCAGCAGTGGTTGATACATGTCTTTTTTTATAACAGCCAGAATCATGTACAAAATTATATTTAGCCATATACATTGCATTACCAGCTGCAGCTGGAAAGCAGTTTGGGAACTAATGCTGGAGCCTGGAATTGGAATTGCACCTCATCTTTGGGTAAAAAAAGCCAGGCACATTAAGGAGGCCTGGATATCCCATTAATACTTAGCATTAGCATAGCTGACTTTGTGCTTGAAGCCCTTTCCAAACGTTTTTTGATTCATCCTCACTAAGCTCTGTGCAACAAGCCAATAAATATCATTAGCTCCTTTTCAGAAGAAAGGAAAAGAGAGGCAGGCAGGTTAAACAATTAGGCCTATATGCTGAGTATGTTGAAGCCCAAAAGTAAGGCTCTCAAGCTCTCCTTCCCATTCTAGTGTATGACTATGCCTCTCTCCTAGGAAGGGCAAGGAGCCAGGGTCTCTGAGTTAACTCAAACCACCAACCTTTGGGTTGGGTAAATGTGTTAGTCCATGTCCAACAGATTAGCATTCCAGTGTGAATCAGATTAGCCAGCTGAGATGAATTTGGTACATTAAAGTGATTATGGGTTTTCATAGTCTGCTGAGCTGGTATGGATAAAATTGTTACATTTGCTATACTCTTTGAGCATACCTGGATCTAAAAAAGCTCCAGCTGTACATCACAGTCTCTATTTCCTTTTAATCCATTTTCTTCCTTCCATGTCTCTTTGATCATTTCTGAAGGTTAATCAACAGTGGGCGTGTCTACATGTGCACCTCAGTGCGCAGTAGCCTATTTTACTGCACATTAGAGTGTCATGGCAAAAACTGTGCTAATATGTTAATGCGCAGTAGAGTTAGGCTACTGTGCATTAAGGCTAGGGACAGACATTACACATAAACCAATTCAAGTGACCAGAAACTGGTTTAAACCTGTAACAGAACAGATGTTCAGTGCACATAAACCAGTTTGAAAATGGCTGAAACCGGTTTGAGATAAATTTGGTTGAATGTAGTATCAGACTTAACTGATTTGGCTCAAATTGGTTTATTCAATGTCTGTCCCAGACCCCTTGCTGGTTGGAGATAAACCAGACACCCCCAGCATCCTGGCATGCTCTCTGGGCTGGGCAGGGTTCTCTGCTTTACAGCAGGGCTGGCCCTTCCCCTCTGCTTCCTGGCTGCAGCTCCGGCAGAGAATTTCAGGCACAGAGTATCTGCCTGGCTTCTCCCTGCTAAGCAGGGATTATTTCCCACTCCCCTCTGCCTTATGCAGACACTTCAGCATTAGCAAGCAGACCACATGCTGGCTATGGTCCACGTTGTGAGAGATGACAGGTAGACAGGCTTTTCGGAGCTAATCAACAGATAGCTTAATGTCCTTCTTTGGAAGAGCTGTTTAATAAGAGCTCCATTAGTTAATGGAGAGAGGCTTTGTTTTCTAAGTAAGTTGATAAACACTGAGTTAGGGGTGATAAACACTCTCTGCTGGGCTGCTTAGGGTGGGGGGGAAATAATCAGAGCGTCCTGCCAGGGCCTGGCCATGCCCCACTCAGCTCAGCCCTCTGAAACTAAGGGAGGGCTGCTCTAGCACCCCCCAGCTTCTAGCCTGAGCCACTGCAGGCATCTGCCTGCATTTCTGGGATGTCTGTCCAGTTACAAGACTGATTTAGCCTAGCCAGGGTAGACTAACCTGCAAAGATTGAATCAATTATGGCTCAGTACTCTGAACATTACTTGTTCAAGACTATCTTCTTTAAAGGTGCACAATCAACTGTAAATAGTCTTCCAGGGGTGGGGGGAGCTAAAAGTAATTTCAGGTGCAAGAACCACTACAAAGTTCCCTTCCATTTGTATGGCTTTCCAACCACATAAGTATTGTTCTTTGTTCGTGTTTTTCTGTCCCTTATTGCTATGTGGAAAATTCACACGAATAGGAAAGTGACTAACTTAACACAACACATATGTGGAGAAATCAGTGAAACTAACAGGACACAGAGTGCTGACAATTGCAAAATTATACAAACTGAACTGAAAGACATATCTTTTAGGCTAGAAACAGACATTACATATAACTGGTATAAATAATCAGAAACCAGTTCAAATCTGTAACACAGCAGAAGTTCAATGCATATAAATCACTTTCAAAATAGCCAGAACCAATTTAAGATAAAGCTGGATGGATATAGTATCAGACTTAGCTGATTTAAGGTTAAATCAATTTATTGAACTTCTGTCCCAGATTTCCTTTAGATTCAAGTTAGCACACAATCCCCTAGCATCCCAGGATGCTTTGTGCCTCCCCCGAAAACCTCCCCCCTCCCCTTGCAGGGTGGGTGGGCTAGTCTTGGCCCAAGCTGTCTGCTCCAGTGGAGCAGGGAGGCTTCTGGCCTGGGCCTCTGCAAGCATAGAAAATCTAGGGTTCAGGTTCTGCCTTTCATGGAAAACAATTGAAAATGAGTTTTGTTTCCCATTCTGGTCTGCTAATGGGCACATGTTCATTCCCTGTGTCTGCTGCAATATCTGGCAACTAGTCATCAGTCTCTGCTAAACTGAATCCTTACATTACCATGCAGAGTTGAGGATCATTAATAGGGCTCTGGAGAAGTAGCCTGTTGAACACCTGGCCATGATCACACCTCCTTCATTTTTATTCTAGAAAATTCTCTAAGGATGATCATTTTCTTTAAATTTAGACATTCTGATAAGACTCTAACATTGTGGAAGTATTGTTGCTTTCTATTCCTCAGTTGCATTTAGACTAGTATAAGAAGTCATGTATTTTCCGTTATAGTAGTTGTGATTCGCAGTGTGAGGAAGAGCCTATAAATAATTGACTTTCTCACATATTTCCAAAAAAAACAAAAACAAAAAAAACCAAGCACATGGACAAAACCTAGTACCACATATTTGTTAATTAGTGTAATTGGATGTGCTTGATAGATCTAGAAAAAAGGCTGAACTGGCACCTGAGTATCCTGGAGGGTCCCTGTATCAGGGCTGCTGGCTCAGGGATGCAGTACTGCTTGTTGTAGCTCTGCTTTTCAAAGGATGTGTTCTACTGAATCTTTTTGTGGAATTTTATTCCCGTTTAAAATATACTGTGTTTCAGTTTAAAATAAGAGAACAGTGTTTGTTTATGGAGAGATTCTCGTGCCAACAATAAGAAATCCATTTACCAGACAAGTGGAGCACCCAAGTCAAAAAGGTTAAATATTAGAACCTTCTTTAAGGGCTCGTCTTCATTGCTTTATATTTTCTGCTGTCACAGTCACCACGACACAGTGGGTGCAGAAAGCTGCCTGTCTGACCCACTAATGTTCTACACATACTTTGTACAGGAAGATGTGACAACTATGTTTACTGAGCCACCATCATCTTGAACTACCAACATGTTCATCCAGAAAAGTATGTGTGTTATGGTTACAAGTTACATCACAGGTCGCTAAAACTGAAAGAAGTTAATGAAATACATTTTTCCTTGACAGAACTCTGTGTAGAATCCAAATTAACTTAGCTTCCCATAGGGTCAGCTGGTTAGCTTCTCCCTTGTTGAAAATGCCTTTATAAATATTAACAGAGAAAGGAAAAACCACCTTGTGAAATTGTTTTGCACCAGCATGAAGTTTCACTACTGTTAAGATGATTTAACCATGGAGAACCTGCTCTGTTATTTAAAGGTGTTCTATCAAAAATTGATTTTTTTAAAGTGTCACTATAAAAAAAAATGATGACAACTTTTCAAAGTGCAGCTTTACTTTGTAAAGTGACTATAAAAGTAGAACACAGGATTCTATGATACTGTATCTGGGAAGCATAGAGAAGTAGGGCTCGAAGGGACCTCAGGAAGTTATGTACTCCAACCCCTTGCTGAAGGCAGCCAAGCAATTCTATTTCATATCATCTCACATTACAATTAACATGATGTATTTTATAATTCCCAGCATGGTTTCTTCAAGGCTGTGCTCACCAGTAATAAAAGTTCTACAATTAGATAATGTTTTACACATTAGAATTCAGTCTCACTCATTTTCCCAGAGCTGGGTTGGCTTGTAAAAAATAAAACAAAGAAAGAGCACTGTAGTTCAGAAGCTCAGAAGGTGAACAGAAAGCAGATCTAATGAATAAGGGCTTATTCATACATGAAGGGTTTTTTGGATTAAAGTGGGCTGTGAATTTGCTACTTCAGTTAACTTGCCCCCATAGAAAAGCCTAAAGAAGGTGATATGTATACATCATTTTTCTGACCATACTCACAACTTCAAATGAGTTGACAAAGATTGAAAAGGAAAAAGACAGTACCAGGTACTGTAGCTGCGAAGTAAATATGAAATGAGGCGGATGCCTCTCATTTAACAGGAATATTTTCCTAACCTCAGCTTCATGATTCAGCCTTTCTTACATCAAGAGATTAGTGAGGTATCTTATAATGAAGTATGCTGGAGAAGTTTGCAGGGATACATCATGATTAGCGTGACACAAAGCAGTTGTGCAGGCTCCTTTGCAACCCTTTTCTAGTCTGAATTGACAGTCCTCTTCGGTTTACACTGCAGCTTAATTCCTCCTGGCAAGACAACACATAGACTAAACAACACCAGTGAAGTTGGAGCTGGAATTTAAAAATGAAGCAGGCTTCTTTGGAATACTGACCTTTTTTTTAATTTTATTTCTAGGAGTGGCCACACGTTGCTTGCCTTCTGGTTTTCCCGACAGGAGGGGAAGCTAAACCGACAGCAGACAATTGAGCTGGGACACCACATTCTCAAAGCACACATTTTTAAGGTAACAGGAATTCCAGCCAAGGCTTACCCTTACCCTATCTCTGTTATACACAATCTGCTAGAACTAGCTATATGAGGTCTTTTCTTGTTGAAGTGCTGCTGCAAGGAATGACATTGCTTCAGGTTTCCAAAACACATGCAGAAAGTTAGCTTTGGAGAGCGGATGATAATTCATATCTCTCAGAAACCAAATTGCCTATCAGACCATATGTTCACCCATCCAGGCCTGCCCCCTTAAAATTATTCTTCTACTGCATAAGTTTTTGTGCTGTGTAGGATGAAGTCAATTTAATCATGCCAGGTTTCCATAAAAGACTGGAATAAGCACATAAAAGAATCCAGACATAAAGACTTGTAAAGGGCTGAACTAATAGCTTTGATTGTATAGGAGAAAAAAGAGAGTGAAATCTCAGAACATGTCCTGTTTTGTTAAACTGCTCCATACAGAAGAGCAACTCGGGCTGTGCGAACTTTTGGTCCCTGATTTGATTCAGCGGAGATTCAGCCCAATTTGGTGGCCAAATCTTCAAATCTGAATCAAATCAGGAGACCCTTTAATCTCTCTGAACTGAATCAGAACCCTTCGAATCAATTCGGAGAGATTCAGAAAGATTCAGAGATTCGGACACAGACACAGCTTCAAATTTTTTTCTACATACTTCCAAGGTACCAGGCAGCGGAAGTTGTGAAAGCTGCGATGGTGGGTCAGACAGATCATCCCACAGGAGTGCAGGGGTGTCCCCAGCACACTCAGCAGCAGACCCAGAAGTGGACCAGAAGCACTTCCAGTCCACTTCCGGGTCTGCCAGGGAGCACGCAGGGGGGCCCCTCCAATACTCACCTGGCTCGGCAACTGGTGCCTTCTGGGCCTGGGGGGCACCCAGTGTCCCCCCGCAGCCAATTGCTTAGCCGGGGAGGTATGGGGGGGGGGGGGCCCCAGCTCATTCCCAGGCGGACCCAGAAGCGGACTGGAAGTAGTTCCGGTCCATTTCTAGTGTTGCCACCAGCACATGGGGGGGCCCCCCTGCGCTCTTGGGGGCATTCCATCTGCCCCACCATGGCAGCATTCATGAGCTGCGCTTGGTACCTCGAGGTATGTAGAAAAAGCATTTAAAGCTGTGTCTATGGCCAAATTGCTGATTCTCTGAATCAGCATTAAATCTTCAGGTTCGGATTTGACCAAATCAAATCGGGGATAGTGATCCGAATCAACAAATTGAATCACTGCCCCAGGTTCAAGCTGAATCCAAATCCAAATCCAAGTTGAATGCGGCCCATTTCGTACACCCCTAGCAGCAACCTATACAGGAACATAGGACTGGAAGAGACTTTCTGGGTCACTGAGTCCAGTCTCTTGGGCTGGAAACAGACATTCTAGGGGGACCATGGTCAGTTGTGCTGCAATATGTTGCGGCACAACTGATCACGTTCCAGGAAGATCTACAGCCTGACTTGGGGTATGTCTGCAAGTGGAGAAAATCCCCCACTTGCAGACATGCCCCTGTTTTGAGGAGTGGGGAAATCCCCCACAGTGGTTCCTCCCTCCGCATTTGCAGGTGTGCTTGGGGAAATCCCTCTGCAAGGGGGATTCCTGTTGGAGTTGGAGGGATTCGACCCTGACTTGAGCAGGGTTTTTCACTGCCCAGTCAGATCCTGGGGATGGATCTGGCTGAGAGATTGTTTTAGCTCCCTGCTTATCTGTCTGCTTTGTTCTTAGACAGCTAAAAGAGACTATGCTATTTCATGATCTGCTTTCCCACACCTGACTTCTTTTATGTAAGCGGCTATATCATTTTGATTGGAGTTTCCTTCTTTATAAAATGCTTTGAGATCTAGAAATGTGTATTTATTTACAAACTGATAATGACGGCAGAGGTGAGATACTGCAGGTTTCACCACTGTTGAACTTATTCAAATAAAATGTTGGTTATTGGTGGTTAATGGTTCATTTTTAATCTCAACACTAAAACTGAACTCCCAGATGGTTCACATCTAAGTTCTTAGCTGAGCAGCAACATACACTAGCTTGGATTACATCTTTGTGTCCAGCAAGTGACCAATCGAAATATGAATCTGTTAGGTTACTGTAACTGTCACGGAGATAATATATAATTTCCTAAAATTAAGATGGTCTCTGGGAGCTAAACATCTCTGAAAATTGTGCCACTTATAGAAGTGCCTATACGTGGATTTAGGTACCTGAGGTTAACCACAGGCACTGGCCAATAATCTTTAAAGCAGTTGGATAGTTCCATACATAATGGGGCCATGTTATCATCCTGCTAGATCTCTTTATCTGATTTCACACACTATATTAATACTCATATACCAGGGTCAGCAACCTCTAGCCAGTGGTCTGGAACCAACTCACAAAGAGGTCTGATTTGGCCTGTGGAAGTCTGATCCCCCATAGGGGATTGGTGTCATGGAACTGCACTGCCGTGTCCATCCTCTCCACCATGTTTTACTGTACTGCACAGCCTGCTGCTCTGCAGAGTCTGAGCTTCCCCAACTGCAGAGGGGCTGGGAATATGACAGCTGGCCACTTGAAGGACAGGGAAAGGGGGAAACTTCCAAGCCACAGCAGGGGTGGGGTTTCGGGCTGTGCAAAGCTTCGGGTGGTCATTCAATTTGGAGCAGATTTGGCACAGTTCGGTGGCCCAGTCTCCGAATCCAAATCGAATCGGGATCGATTCAAAGCTTTCTGCATCTTCGGAAAAGATTTGGAGAACTTTGATGATTCTGGCAGTGCCTGATGGCTGCAGCAGGGAGCTGCAGCCAGACTCGTAGTTGGTAAGTACTAGGGGCAGGGGAGGGGGGGCTGGAGAAGGGGGGAGGAGACCATGGGGGGCCCCTGCCAGCCCCCATCCCCTGTCCACTCCTCCAGCCCCCCCACAGGTGCCCTGCCTGCCCCAGCTGCCAGCATTTAAAAAAAAAACGCCAGTGCTCACAGGGTGCTGCCAGGTGGGGAGGGATCCCTGCTGCCCTCCACTGCCCCACACTGTCCCCAACCCCTCCCCCAGCCCCGCCAAGGGTGCCCCGCCCGGGCCAGCTCCAGCCCTTCTAAGAAGGAAAAAAAAACCCAATTCAAGCCCTGGGACTCACCAGCTCCTGCAGCAGCCTCGGGGCTTCAGGGGGCTCATGAAGAGCCCCCGCATAGCGTGGGGCAGCAGAGGGCAATGGGGATTGGCCCCCACCGGCAGGAAGGGTTTGTTTTTTCCTAAAGGGCCAAAGCTGCAGCAGGCGGGGCAGCCATGGGGTGGCGGGAATCGGGGGGCTCATCCAGAACCCCCCATGCAGCATGGGGCAATAAAGATTGCCCAGCAGCACCTGCTGAGTCGGGGCTTTTTTTTTCCAAGTGCCAGGAGCTGGGGTGGGCCGGGCAGTTATTGGTGGGGCTGGGAGAGTAGGTATGGGATGGACCTGGGTGATTTGGAGATTCAGACAAATAGATTCGGAACAGTGATTTGAATCACCGAATCTAATCACTGTCCCCCAAACTGGCTGAAGCCGAATCCAAAGTAAATACTAGACACTTCGCACCAGTCTAGTGGGGTTTTAAGCTCTGGCCTGCACCTGCAAAAGGCTGTCAACTCCTGCTCATATGTAATGGTGTCTACATCATTTTGAGAGATAATGTGTAGAAGTAAAGTAAGGAACCCCAGATAAGTAGACTTTCTATTATGTGCTTTTCAGATTTTGAGCTTCATCTCCAGTGCCAGTTTTAGCTCTGGCATTAGTGTACTCAGCTCCTATTGACATTAGTGTCAAGCCTGAATTTAGTTCCTAGTCTTATCGTTTTACTCTTTGTAATGGAAAAAAAATAGCAGGATTTCAAAATCTAAATAAATGACAGTTTTCATTAACTGGATAGTTGCCCAGAGATTCCAAGTTTAAATGAAAAATATTTACCATCATCAAAAATGTCTGTAACATATGAAAAATGTCAGTATTCCTTCTGTTCCTAATTACTTGGCAAACCCCTTGTTTTTGCATCATTTCAGTAAGAATAATTTGGCTGAGTGACAGACAAACGTAACAGTACATTTTGTAGAGTACTGCAAAGTTCTGAGATGAGTTTGCATTAGATGCTTATACATATGAAAAGCACGGCGAGATTAGCCTTTAGTGTTCCTTGAACAGATTTATTTTTATTCTTTTATTAACAATAATGGCTCATTTCATGAGGCTTTGTTAGTACTTACTAAATTAGATCATAGCAGCATTGGTTCTTAGATGAGAGACTTTCAAACTGAATATATCAAAGGAAAATGTACATGTAGAATATATGGTATATGGATTCTCTTCCCTCTTCTTACAGACCCTATTCATTTCTGAAACATCACTTTCTCCCTTAAGAGCTTCTCATTTTGCATAATCTCTTAGCAGAATCTTTGTAGCTGTGACGCAAGTTTTTTGCCAAGTAAAATAAAATGCATGTCAAACTGTAAATTCAGCATGCCTTTTCTGTAGTATTATGTTAGAACAAGAGCCTTATCTAAATACATGGGCTCTCATTTAGAACCATCATACACTGGTTTGACACCAGGGTAACTTCAATGGATATACCCTTTACATTCTTTGAAAGGAGAATTGGATGCAAAGTATTTTGCAGAGCTGGTGGTGAACTACTTTGCATATGCTGATCAGATTTTGAGTAAGAGAATCAGAAAAAAAGAGAGTTTGCTTTAATACTGTATTTTCTCACATACTACATGCCCCCACAGCAAAATACATTCATTGTTTTTGGAAGACAGAAATGTAGGGAAAAAAGATCTTTACAGCAATGGCCGAACGTATGACATAGAGTAACTAGCCTGGAAGCACGGAGGCCACGTCTACACAAGACATTGACTGTGCAGTTGTTACTGTGCAGTCATTTAGTACTTGCATACACAAATACTAAATGACTGAGGGCCAGAGATACTGCACAGTAGCATCCCTGATTGGCTTTTTGATGACGCTGACTGTGCAGTAGGTTGTTACTACTATGCCGTAGCT